TGGCATCCCCTGCAGCGGGGGGTGCTCAGTAAACCCAGAAAACGCTTGAGTTACGCACCTCCGCCAAGCCCGGAGACGTCGGAAACCCGGGTCGTTCGCCGCAAAGTCAACGGGCGGATCAGCGGCGCCCTGGAGTATCACTGCTGAAAGCAAGGGACGTTCTGCATCGCGCCGAGTTGCGACCCACGGCCAAGGCTGCTTCTGCGTCCGGCAGTTTCAAGCTGCCGTTGTTGTTTGCTATAGCTTGCTTGCTATGGTCACAGATTTGCCAATACTTCTCCTTAACCAGATAACCAAGAGGTTGAATTTCTCTAGTAGGAACACAACATTTTACTCTTCTATTTAATCCTTATGCAAAAGTATTCACACTCCCCACCCCGCCCCTTCCGAACCTTTCAACATTGCTTGCAGATCCCGAAAATCTTCTGTAAGAGCTGATTACCTGATTGCATAGAAATCGCAAGGTATGATATTTATGACTTTACAGGTTACTCTTTTTGGTACTGTACCACAGAGAGAAATGGCACAGTGATACCGCACATGCAGAAATAACAGATTTTGGCCTCGGTCACTGAGGGTATCCAACACTGATTTTTATTTATTTATTTATTTAAGGAGGGCATTGTAATCCACACAGCACAGGAATTGTTTTCACAGTCTCAGTTCTATTTTCATAAAGAATTGCGCAACATTTTATCCATTTCTTTTTACTACTGAAAATAACACATTTATAACTTGAGACACTGATTACATCTCAGCATTTTTCGATGTAGGAGGCAGCACTGCAGCCGGTACTCACGAGTTCCACTGACAAATCCTCCAGAACTGGACTGTGCACCGCTACTGGTATCATGCATAGTCATATACCATTAAAGGTAAAAAGTACATGGTTGATCCGTTCTACAGCATCATTTTTCAATCCTAACCCTCCTGTGCCCACCCTGCCTTGGGGAGTGCCAGTTCTCTCAGTTCTTGGCTTTCATGTTTATCAGGTACTTAGTAGCCCATTCCCATTAAATAATTCCACCAAAATTAGATTTGCTAGTTCCTGTACCGTAAACTGGTTCTCCTATCTCAGTTTTTGGCCTATGGGTTATTTGCCCTTAGGTTAATGATACATAGAAACGCACTTCGCCCTGATGGATCTGCATCATGCTATGGCATGTGAAACTGCATGCTCATGTATTCAAACACCAGAATGCCCAAAGTGGTACAAAATCTTTGGGCCGGAGAGAGAAAAATAGCGAGAGCAAGGATGTAGCTTTAGGGAAGATCATAAAGGGATATCCTGAAGTTCAATGCTTGGTCCAAGGATGTTTCTGTATTTCATGCTATGCACACCCTGTGGAAAGCACAGGGACTCCCCAGAGCATAAATACTGTAAACTATATCGTCATCCATTCTCTACTTCTCTTTGATAGCGCTTCACTGAGAGGCAGAGAGGAAACCAATAACCTGGTGGTTAAAACAGTCTTTGGAATGGAGGCTTGGACTTTATCCACAGGGATTCGGTTTCCTGGATCAATGCCCCAACCAAAAGAGAGGTGCAGCTCTTCACGCAGTCGGTGAACAGGACCTCTGACCACAAGGGATACTCACCCGATGAGGTACCAAGCAGCTGTGGGCACCTCGCCTTCCACCGGAGTGCAGCTCACAGGTTCACCCCGGCTTTTTAGTGCATTATGATTATGATGATTATGATCATTATAATGATTATTATCATTAGATTGCTAGGATTCATGAACACTGTCATTAGGCACTTTGCAGTGTGTTTTAGGCCTAGACGTGTACCCTAGACATGTAGCTTGGGGTTGAAGACTTCTGCTTATTGTTCCAGATTTGGGCAAACAGAAGATGGGATCTAAGGTGTCAGAGTCCTCAGGCTATTGTGCCAAACAACCGGACCGTACATCTTCCTTTCGGAATGTCAGCCTGAAGAGAGCCTAGCTCTTCAACTCGGTAATGAGAGTTCATGCCATCTCTTCCACGGGGACATGATTCCCTTTACCATTTCTATTAAGTTCCTGGTCACCCCAGTTTGCAGAAGACTGTAAAACTAATGTAAATTAAAGTGAACATTTCATCAAGAAGATAATAATGTAGCTAAAAAGGGTAGTGGCATGCCCCAGGGGAAATCACCTCACAGAAATACAATATTGTGTACTAACATCCCAAAAAACTGCATCCCACATCCTTGTTAAAAAAAAAAAAAAGTTTTGTATGCATATGAAAACTTGAATTGACTCATTCTATGGCACCTAAAGATCTGTCCCTTTTATTTCCTATGTATGCCATTGGCATCTTGGAAAGACAACGTTTGCACAGAATAAACCCTTTGGTTAGAGTTAGGATGAAATGTAAGTGTATGTTTGTTGTAAACGTAACTCATACGGCTACTAAGAAATGTATAGCAAAGTCAGCACCTAACGCAACAGTTCCCACACGTTGACATGGAAGATGAAGCTAAGTAATTGACAGACTCGATGAAGTCCTATGTGCAAATGGGCCTGGCTAGCAGCCTCATTCTGGGGCTGCAGAAGAGCACTGCAGCCTCCCACACTCGCCTAACCTGGGAAGTTGGACATGTCCCTCAGTACGAGGCAGGTTTTGTGCCGGACTGCTACCTACATAACAGCCCACAGAAAGCCTGAGAACAAATATTTAGTCTGATCTTCACTTTTAGTTGAAAGTCAGTATGTTATGCAGAAGGTGTGGATGCTATAAATAAAACATAAAATATTGACATTTGTGCACTACTTGTGAGAAAAAAAAAAGTTAAATAAATTTCCTTTTTCTT